GTGCACTGCTTTACTTTACTTTTTAAACTAAATTTTGATTTTGTGGTGAGAAACTGGAAAAGAGTGGGGTGATCAAAAAGAGTCTGTTTTATTAATATAACTATTATGTGAATCATCGAAGCCCAACCATTTCACGAAGTCTTTGTTACCACGTTTATGTTAAACTTTTTCCACCAGGTAAATATCAGGCCGCATTGTTTTTTGTAACTCATCCTCATAAAATGCTCCACTAATGGGTCTGCCATTTATATCTTCCAAAATGTATGTGGTGGGGTTTGTAATTTTTACTTTTACAATTTTAAACAATTCTGTAGTCCAATTGGGAGTATATCCTTTATAAAAAACATGTTTTGCTTTACTTATTCTCACTATATCACCAATGAAAAACTTTTTAGGTTTGGTTGCTAATTTTAAATGTGTAAATGCAAACTTTAAAACTTTTTTTTCATTTTCTTTACAAACATCAATTGGTTTCATATTAATTGTTCTATGTTTTGTATTATTATAATTTGAAACAATTTGTGGCAATATATCAACCCATTTATATGACCCATTTAAACTAAAGTATTTATATAGACGTTCTTTTACAGTCCTTATAACACGCTCAGCGATTGCAGCTTTTTTACTACTAAATGTATTATAGTGATTTATTGAATATTTTTGCATAAGTTCATTAAACTTACTATTAAAAAATTCCTTGCCCTGATCAGTCTGTAAGTTTTGTGGACATCTTTCTTTCAATATTAAATTAAAAGCTTCTGTAACTTCTTCCCCAGATTTATTTTTTAATGGTTTAGCCCATAAATATTTTGAAAAACAGTCAATAACAATCAATATGAACTTAAAATTTTTATTATTTGATGCATACATGTCCATCTGCCCTAAGTCTGATTGCCAAAGGTCATCAATGCCCTTAATAATTGTTTTTCGACGTTTAAAATTTTTTCTTATAGGCCTATGAAGTTCATTAACAAGTTTAATTTTTTCCTTGGTGTGTTTCATGATTATGGTGTGGTGGAAGAGTGAGTACTACCACCAGCAGCCACTGTAATCACTTTTATTATATTTTTTTCCACATCATTGATTGCGGATTTGTTTTTTTTGACGTCCTCAAATAATAAATCTATAATGTAATCATTTTTCACGTTTGTATCCAGAGACTTTAAAGCTGTATTAAGATCTTTGATTTGCTTTTTAAAATCTATAATGTTTTGTTCATTTTGCTGTTTTATATCCTTTAAGTTCACATCTTGAGTCTGTTGAAGGAATTTAATTTGCCTATCCAAGTCATTACGTGCATTTACATGCGATCTTGAAATATTCTTTAAAGAATTCAAATCATTGAAAATTATTGTTTTTTGTTTATTAAGTTCTTTAATTTGCTCTTTTAACTCATCGGTATTTTGCGTTAAAATAGCTAGTTCTTTATTTAAATTAATTTTTAATTTATCTTGTTTTTTACTATCGAGGTTTTCAATTTCCTTTTTTATTTTTGCATCCGATTGCTTGAGTGCTTTTAATGTCTCTTGTTCAAATTTACTAAGTGATTTTATTGTATCAGCATAAAAATTTGCATATATTTGACCAACATAACCCATATTAGTAGCATCTGCATTTAAAGTTGGTGATTTCACATTACATATTTTTAGGTTTTCTGCGTCAATATTACCATCGGGAGTATATTTTAGTACATTGTTGCCATACTGTAATTTTGACAATAATGAATTTTGATTGGATTGGTCTAGAGATTGACCGAACTTGTTAAGCGGCATTGCTAAACTAAAAAATAAAAAAACAGTGTTTATTAATATATAACACCAGCCTCTTTGAGTTCATTGATAATTGCCGTAATTTCATTATCATTCGAGGTATTTCCAGCATCCTTGGAGGCTACTAATAATTTTAATCTTTCAACTATCTCATTATTAATGAGTCATTAATATTATCCCAATAAATATATTCTATGGGTTTATTGTTATAGGTCAAAATATTAAAATGTGGCTTGCGATAACCACTTCCGCTAACAGCTTTTTGTTTTATTAATGGCTTTATTATCGTTCGATATTTTTTTAAATTAGTTCCTTTTATTACACCTGTTGGTTCAAAGTCTCGTTTATGTACATTTGTTAATAATAAAATTTTTTTGTAGTTTTGCACATCCTCTTCTTTAGAATAATTTTTGGGGTACTTTTTAAATATTAATTCATATAAACCTTCAGTCCCCTTAAATTTCTGATTTTCAATAATAAAATTGCTATTTTCATCAAACTCTATAACACTTTTTCCAATTAACCATTGATTTAAAGAGGGATTATAAGTCACCCCATATGTTATATCAAAATCTTTTTTATTTCCACCATTTATATATTCATTTAAATATTGACGAGCTAATTTTGGGTAATTATTGAGGTAGTCCATATTTGTAGGTAAAGAGATATCACCATCATGCACATCATCATCATAATCATCACCATCATCATCATCATCATCATCATCATCCCCATGTTCGAGGGTGGTTTTTAATTTTTCATCTTTTGATTCATCTTTTGGCTCATTCTTTAATTCATTTTTTTCTTTTTTAATTTTCTTTTTTACGAGTTCTTTTATTGGTTTTGTTATGGGTTTAAATAATTTATTTAATGCAACATCTGTTTCCGATTTTCCCAATTTAAGAGCTAAATATTTTTTTCTAATATTTCGAGAGAGTTCATTAATTTTTTTTGTTACATTGGAAGTCGATGCTGCCATGATAACAAATGATGTTAAATTTACGTATTTTGCATATTTATATATTTATCAAACCCCTTTCGATAGCGTCCATTGTTTAAACGAAAATCTTTTATGATAGCTAAACAACCATAATTCTCATTCCAGCATTCCGAACATATTTTCTTAAACTGATCATAAGGCATATCAGGTGAGACATGCTCATCAAATACATGTTTTAAATTTATATCATCCTGCCTAAATAGCACAATAACATTGCAATTATAACGTATTAATTGTTTTGGTATTTTTGAATACGTTTGACACAAGTAGGCCGCATCAATGTTTTTATGCCTACACATTGAATTGTATTGTATTCACGTATTTTATTTTGTTTATCACAAGCTACGTCATCAAATATAAAAATTGAATTATTTCGAGCTTTCACAGCTTCAATTATTTCATCATTATCTTTATATGAAAAATACCCCACACCTTTTACTTTCCTTAAAACATTTTGTAATAGTTGATATTTTGGTTGGAAAAGTGATTTTGAATAAACGTAAATATTTTCAAACTTAGCTCCATTAGGATTAAATATTAAACTTAATAGGGCATTTGTTTTACCACACCCACTAGGACCACAAAAAATTGCTCTAAAGGAATTTGGTAGTAAATTACCATGTTTACTGACATCAGAACTACCTTCAAATAAATCTAAATTAGTTATAGGTAGTTTTGCTAGGGAATTTATTTAATTAATTTTACAACAGCATGTTATTTTTGGTAACTTATTTAACACCTCGTTAGCTTCTTTCGTATAAAATGAAACCATACAGCATGGGCATGTATCAGGACCTTCATCTGAATTTGACCAGGGGCACGACTCAAAATGTTTACCATATTGGGTTTTTACAACATTGGCATTAAGATGTTGCTCCAAAAATTCTTTTTGACTGGTCCATTTTTTAATTTTTTCCTTTTCCAAAAATTCTCGATATATTTCCTGTCGAGTAGGATATTTATTTTCAAATTTTTCTTTATTTTTTTTTTACTACATTCTTCCAAAAATTTATCAATATTTTGGATTGCCTTTTCAATTTCCTTTACACTAATCATTTTTTAGTAATACCTATGATATTATAGGTTCTCCTGTTTAAAATGTTGTTATTATAAGGTCGGACGGGAGACTGAACGTCTAAAAAGGCTCCCGATGTTCCAATCTACCCATGTTAAAAATGTTCGCTTCTCTGCGTTTTTCTAAAATAATAATAAATCCTTATCTCCAAATAACTGATACCACACCGCATTAAAACCCCCGAAACTTGCCGAACAACAAGTCGGGACAAGTCGGGATCCAGCAATTCAAAATGGCGTCAAAAATAAAATTTACAACAAAATAATAATAAATCCTTATCTCCCCCCGGATATCAAACCACTGTTAAGTCACGCCCATCGTCAGCAAATGCATATCGCTTTTCTTTTGCATCTCCAGTAATACCAAACTAATACGCTAACCACAAACAACCAATATGCATATCGCTTATCTTTTGCATCTCCAGTAATGCCAACTAAACACACATCCCCCGCCCACAACCAACCACAACACTAAAGGGAACGCCCATCAACCAATAGCTAATATCTATCAAACATGGCCGCCATCCGCCAGCCGCCATCCGCCAACAGCCCACCAATAGGCTCACTTACGCTTATCAGTTGAGGGCGTTGCCCAAATGGCTGCCCACCAATAGCTAATATGATCACCCCCCACCACCCCACCAGGGGGGCGCCACCATCGAGAACTGCCTACTGCTGACGTCACGTAGCGTCTGGGTCACTTCCGGTCGAGAACATACACAGTGTCTCTATTAATGTAAGAAGATAATTTTTCTCCTTAGAAAAATGTTCCTCCAAAATTCTAATCTTGTCGCTTAGATCCAGATGCATATGTATATACATTACATTAAAAATTTTAGACCGACTGCACTCTAAGACAGTGGTATTTTCTAAAAACCAATATAATTACTTGAAACAGAGATACTAAAATAATACGTTGCCAACTAAAAAGTAGAGTTAAAATAGACATTTAATGTTATTTTTCTATGATTTACTGATGAAAAAAGCCTTCCTTTATCTACGACTATTGATGATTTTTGAACGATTATTGACATGTAAAAACCAATGTAACCAGAACAAAATAAAAAAATATTACAAAGTTTGCGGAGGATAAACGTGGACACCATTCTGAGACTCCCTTTTGCGAATAATCCTATATGTATGTCTGGTCATTTTACCTTCAACGACATCAGAAAGTTCAAGGTTACCTGAAATTTCTGTCGGGCGTAGAATGGAAGCTGATTTAAGAGCTCTTTTATATTTCAAAGCTTTACTAGGAGAAGTAGTTGTAATGTCTTTGATAACACTAGTAGCTTTAGAGGCTTCGGAAGCTCGAAGACTCATGCGTGCTGCAAATGTCAACTGAGCCGTGCTGTGTGATTCACGCAAATCTTTTGTAACCCTCCGTTTTGTTCTTTCACTCATGTCCTCGAATTTCTTGGGAGGTCTACCCATATTTTTTGAGCTTGTAGAAGGTTTAACTTGATCCTCCCACTCCATTTTTTCTAATTCGATAGTTCGCTGGATCTGCAAAACGTACATCAATGTTGTTAAACAATAATAAGTTAATTTGGCGTCACATACCATTAATGTTATATTCCTCTTTAACCATTCCTCGTTTCTATCTACAAAATATTTTCGGTTCCTCGTGCATTCCATCAATTTTCTTTTTAAAGTTTTAAAAAGATCTTTTAACACATTTCTTTCACCTGGATAAAATGTAAGAAGATAAATTTTCTCCTTAGAAAAATGTTCCTCCAAAATTCCAATCTTGTCGCTTAGATCCAGATGCATATGCATATACATTACATTAAAAATTTCAGACCGACTGCACTCTAAGACAGTGGTATTTTCTAAAAACCAATATAATTACTTGAAACATAGATACTAAAATAATACGTTGCCAACTAAAAAGTAAAGTTAAAATAGACATTTAATGTTATTTTTCTATGATTTACTGATGAAAAAAGCCTTCCTTTATCTACGACTATTGATGATTTTTGAACGATTATTGACATGTAAAAACCAATGTAACCAGAACAAAATAACAAAATATTACAAAGTTTCGAGGATGTGCAATAATTGCTTAATTATTGAGTAGGTATATTAATTTTACTTGCATACATCCACAGAATAATCATGTAGGTATCTGAACGAAAATTAAGAAATAAATAAAGCCCCAATCACCCAGCGTAACGATTGTTCGATCGATTAACTTCTTATTAAAAAAAACAATAAAATCGATTAAAATACGAAAATAATATTGTTTTCAATTTAATTTAATTTTTAAAATTAAAAAAAAATTGAAAAAACTTAATTGTCCCAAACCAGGCTCGAACCACGACCCATCGCTTGCAAAACAAGCATGCTGACCATGTAGCTAACAAGTCCCCTGTGAAATTTAAGCATATCAAAATCATTAATCGCATGTTAGCACGCTAATAAAAAATTCTGCAAACATCGAGATAAAAACAGACTTTATAAACTTAGTAGCAAATATTAGGAGGAGATATTGTAAAAAATCAATTTATTACACTCCACCTTTTATGAAAAAATGTGCTAGACCACTCATCTCGGCCACTCTCATAACTATTTTTATGCGTTTTGATAAAATGACGGCACAAAAAAATCAGCCGTGTATGGTTATGTTTAATATCAGTTTTTGCATTACGAATATTTTATTTATTTTAAAATAGTTAAGATGTATGCTATAAATACCTTTATTGACACCTTCCATTCGAAAAAATTTAATAAAGTCTTTTTTAAACACTGTATGGACACTTTAATTAGGGCGCAAAATTCCAGACATGAAAACGTGTCGAACGCGATTTCAGCACGGGAACTGATTTTTACTTTGTGACGATACACAGTAGTGTTCCCTAGTCAGTATTAAGTAGTACTTTCTCAAAATTTTGCAATCGACTTTTGACCAGTTTTTTTGAAAAATCGGCCACTTTGCGGCGTAATATGGTAGAAACTGTCCAAAACCCCCCCAAAGTTTATCGTCCACAAATGGTCCAAAATAGGTTAATTACATTCTTAAATATTCACAATCTATACTCCTTTTAATTTTAAATATTATTTACAAAGTATAATACTCATTAAAACTTGGAATTTTGTAATATCAGTAAAAAATTTCGCAGATTCTAATCAAATGTTTGAGGTTTTGTTTTGCTTTAAAAATAGATTTGGTAAATCGGCTTATGCTTTTATTGTTTAAAGGGTATATAAAAGTCTTAAAAACAATAATTAATTTTAAAATAAAAATAAACGTAGATTGTTTTTTTGCATAGTTTTCCTAAATGTAAGCTTTATTAGCTGACCTGTTTCCTTGTAAATATTGGACTGCCAAAAAACATTTGCTGAGCTTTGCTTTGGGAGTGTTATCACCTCAAAATATTGAGGAGTCGTCACCATAAGTTTTGTAGCCTCCTTCGGTCCCCGGTGATGGAGGCAGTGTTGCCAGAAATGCAGAATTTTTTGCAATATGCAGAATTTTAGCCTACATGGAGAGCTAATGAAGAAAAGAAGAATATTTTACAAAAACCACTACAATATGAAGAATTTTTTAAATTCAAATGTTTTTTTTTTCCTTTTTTAATTTTTTCAATTTTCTAAATTATTTAATTCTTTAACTCGATTTTAACACTGTAATATATGGAACGCCGTTTTATCATTTAATCAAGTAACCAAAAAATTCAACTAACTTGTAAATTCGCGTTATTTAATTGTTTGAAATTCATGCTAGATGCAAAAGTAATTTCAAAGTTTGAAATTCGCTGTATTAAAATGTTTGGTAAAGAAAATTAAACACTAATTTTAATGTTTGAAATTGACAGCGTCAATTTCAATCAATAAAATTTATTTATGCGGATTGGTTTATTTAAATATGGTTTCAGATGTTCGACCAATGGCAACTGAGTTTTGAGCATTTTAACTTAAAAAAAAACGTTTTTTATACTCCCTAGTTTCTTTTATTAACAAGTCTTATAGGTATATTGGACGAATTTTAATGAATGAAATAACAGTTGTCGTTAAAACTATTAATGAAAATACCGGTGTACAGGGGCGTGCTGGGCCGCCGGGACACCGGGAGAAATCCCGGTGGGCCGGTGGTCCGGAGGGCTAAGTGGGCCGGTGTGCCGGAGGGCTATGTAGGCAGCATGCCGCAGCACGTGGTCAATTAAAAACTTTTTTAGTTGAGTTATGTATAAATATCACAATTATTTTACACATACCATGCATGCCAGCCTGCCAGCTTTGTTTCTTTTTTCGAGATTGTTTATAAGTTTCCTGAGCGATGATAATTTGTATTAGTTTTTATTTTAAGTGCAATGCTATATGTTTTAGCATTGTGTAAAATATTGTCTGGTTGTGTTTGTTGCCTGTTTTTTTTTCAAGAATTTAATTTATACTTTATGTTATTAATTATTAATAAATGTTTGAAATTTTTTAACTTGGTTTTGTTCACCCCCCATTTTTCGTGTGTAGTTGGCCGATTTTTCTGAATTTCCCGGGCCGGTCTGATATAGCCAGCACGCCCCTGCCCGCATTAATTCCAAACATTTAAATTCATTTAATTTAAAAGTTTCTTTTAAACGAAGTATGCGTAGTATTTTTAATAATTGTAATTACTAATTGCGCACAAAGATAAAAATGAATTTTTCATGTAAATTTGTTTTATTTTATTGTTTGAAATTTATGCTAGATGCAAAGGTAATTTTACAGTAAGAAATTCGCTGTATTTCAATGTTTGAATTAAAATATTTGGTAAAGAAAACTATCCACTAATTTTAATGTTTAAAATTAACAGAGTCTATTTCAATCATTAAAATTCACTTACGTTATTTCATTGAATGATATGAATTAACCATTCCTACCCGAGCGAAATTCTGAATCCGATTTACGTTAGGGTGATATCTGAATCGTATCCGCGAACATAAGCTGACGTACACGAAACGGACATCAGGCCAGGGTTGCCAGATGATATTTTTTTATTTCCCCAGATTTTTTACAAAAAAATCCCTAGATTTCCCTAGACAAGTATGTCAAGATTTTTTTTATTGAAACTTTTTTTAATTTAAATATATGCATATTATAAACTCCTGGACAAAATTAACGCAACATCATAAATTTGTCACATTTTTTATGCTATTTATTTTTTTAATTTAGGATCCGATTTGAATGATTTTTTTTTGCATTGTAGGTTGGTGCCTTGACAATGTTATAATTTTCGCTGTTTATGATATAAAGTTTATTTTTGATTTATACCGGGTGTAATAAAAATGTAATGTTTTTTTCCGAAAATTCGTATCACCCTGTGAAGTATACTAGCAACCGAAACCTATAGCAGTTAACATTAGACGGTAGGTCCATATTTCGCCAACATATTCTTTTTTGGTTTACTTTATTATCTCTGTTATTAAAGGAGATACGCTGTTTTATAGCGTAACATGTTTTTATAGACTTTATTATTCAAAACATTAATTGTTAAATGTTTTCAAGTAGGCTATGGAAAATTCGCCATACTTATAAAAACTGTTCAAAAACTGCTTATTAAACGTTCGTTTCGTATTTTAATCTTGAAAAATGAATCGTCTAAAAAATGTTACGGCAGAAGAAGCAGTAAGAGACTTAACTTTGGGGGATGAGGGCTATTCGATGTCATGTTGCTAATGTGATAGGAAGACATCGTTCGACTATAAGTCGTATGATTAAATAATTTAACGAGACAGGATCTTACTTTTCAAGGTCAGTACAAGGGCGAAAACGATGTACCGATCCAAGGGATTGTCACGGTTCACTTTTCAGTGGGCGCTATCTAAAGTAATATCTAGTTTTAAGGGCTCTGCCCGACTCTATAGTTGCTCAGGGATGTGGGTTATAAAGGGATGTCCATAGGCGCCACGTGATTTAAGTGGCCCTTAAAACGTAGAAAGAGAAAATCACGAAATAGATATAACCAAAGGTTTATTACTGATATATAATTTAAAATAACGCAATAAGTGATTATACTTGTGTTTAGGATAAATACCAAAAATAATACCGAAGTGATCACTTGGGTTTACAACCCTTTTGGTAGTTACGAACTACAAAAACAATCTATATATTCTGCAAGTAAAATACCACTCTGTAGCTGAAGGCTACCAGGGCAAAACAAAAATGAGGTGACACTACAAGTTAAGCTTGTAGGTGTAACAAGGTTAGCAACCCGAGGGTTGCAACCTGATCTGGGTAAACCTGGTTATACGGTCAAGCTTAACCAAATCAGTTCGCAACACAACGAACAATACTGACCAATAAAAATAAAGAAAATCAAAAATAAGTTGGCCGTTGGTCTGGATCAAAACCAACCAGCAGCTGATTATACGGGCAAAAGCTGGTCAGCTTTGGCACAGAACAACAAACCTTACAAAAATATTCATATAGCAAAATAACATATACTCCGGTATAAATACCACACAATAAAGTAAAGAATAAAATAGAGGTAAACTTATCCTGCTGCCAGGCGTTGTCACAATCGGGTAGTCGTCAAATCCGGGGAAAGTGTCTTAATCGGGTGATGGGTGAGATGGCAGACGTCGATCTCAGTCCTACCTCGGCCAACTCACAGTAGTCAAATCCAGGAGAAAACTAGGCTTGTCCGGGTACCTTCGCGGTAGTGTATGCCCCGGAACAAGTGTCACAATAAGGGTGGATATCTGGGAGATAATCCGTCGTGTCCAAGTTGTGTAAAAGTTACACTAATAGGGTTATGAAAATTCGGTAAAGAAAAACCCAAAAACGAAACAAAACCAAAACAAAAA